AGGGTTTGCTGGCTGTGGAGCAGGATGTGGCTGAGCTGCAGGGGGGCTGCAGGAACCCGCCATGCCCCAGGGTGGGGGGAGAGGAATTCCTCTAAGGCTTTATCAGGAAAACCACTCCCCGCACAGGCACAGGAGTCAGCTCGCAGCTCAACAGGGCCAGCTTTTTGTCAGTCTAAAGGAGCAGCTGCCCAACTCAGCCTCCAAGAACTGGACCTGGATTTCAGGCCAGGAGTCTTTAAGGAGCCCTCCCTGGGTGGAGGATCGTGCACTTAACGCTTAAGTCCTTGGATATGCAGCACTGAAATAATGTAGAAAGCGTATTTTCAAGCATCACTAACCATTTCTAAAATAGTCTTTGTTTTTTAGATTCTTCCTTCCTTTCTTCACCCTCTGCTGTTTTTCTCTTAGCTTCTAGTGGAGCCAAAGGTAACAGAGGGACTGACTTGCTGGTTCGCCACCAACGTAAACAGCCACCGACTAGGGGAAACGCTGCCGTCTGGTTTACACGATGCAGAGCCAGCAGGGGGCGCTCGTCCCCCAGATTATTCTTCCCTTAGCTCCTCATAGATTATGGCCAGCGCTAGACCACAGAAACAGGCTACTCGCTGGATACAAGTGGACCCTACAGCCTTTTGGTCACGATCTCAGGATGTGGAGTCAGCAGACCTGGATCTGAATCCCATTTCCAATGTCAGTTAGCTGCCGAACAGTGCGCAGGCTGTGTCACAGGATGAAATAAGACAACACACAGTGTTGGCTATCACCACGACTGGCACTAGTGCTGGTCCTACCACTGCTCAGGGTGGCAGAGTTGTGAAGATGTCTTTAGTGGTGACAATGGTAACATGGTAAACTGAAGAGTGAATTTCCAGAATAGCTGGTACCAAGGGAGGCCCTCCTGGACCCAGGACCAGGCAAACTCGGTTCTCCTCGTGGTTCTGTTGCTACCCAAGTGTGCATCGTGCCTTATCCCCTCTTGAGAGATAGTACAGGCAGAGGAGGGGTCAGACCCGGCCACAGCCATTGACTGGCTATGAGACAGCCATCTCCCCAGGCCTCCTCTATAGGAAGGAATAGAATTACCTGCCTCCTAGGGCTGGGATAAGGATGAAAGAAATCACTAATGAAAAATAGTTAGCACTGCACCCAGCTCATTGATTTCTCTGTTTGGTTTTTGTCAGCACTACCTACAACCCCATGATTCCACTGAGCCTGTGACCAGTACAAAGAAGTCGGGAGACGTGTGCACGTGTTGGATGCAAAGACTGGGAGAACCCAAACGCAAAGTTGAATTTGTTTAGGGACCTTCAGTGATATGTCACTTTGTTGGCTTCCTTATCAAATTAACATGCTTAATGTTTGAGGTTAAATTTTAAGTACAGTATATCCAAATGTGTTAAAATGTACTAGTGGAATTTATTTTAGATGGCTTTAAATTTTCCTAGAGTTAGAACAAAAATTTAGTAAAATTAAACTCTGAGAAGCCACAAAAAATCTGAGAACAAGAGGAACCATCCACACATGACAGGTTGCTCAGCATAACCTTGTTTCTGAAGTGCCACCACATGTTCGTTGTCACGGCACCTCGTGTTTCCAAAATAAAGCACGTGTTATATAATTTGAGAAGCCGGTGCTTGAGACACTGTCACAATGCTTTAAATAATTGTTAATTCTCCCCTCATTTCAATAAGTCAATCACCTTCTTTTCAAGGGTCTCTTCCCTTCCTCTAGCACAAGAACCACCCTTCAGGCCCTCACATTTCCACTAAAATCAAACACATACGCTCCTCACAGTTTGCCACGTATGCCTTTGTAGACATTAAACTCATTTGTGTATCATTGCAAAATAAGTGTCCATAATATCGTAATATTAGAAGTAACATCAACAATTGAGACTGATGTTAAAATACTAAAATAATTTCATGAGTGTTACAGCTGTGGTTGGCGGTATCTGATGGACATAATTTAAAATCATAATACAACAAGCCAGAAACATCAACCTATCTATTAGAAGGTATTGTTATTTTCTGAAATTATACTTTTTTAATCTAAAGGGCAAGTAATTTTCAATTGTGAAGAAGGACCGTTATTCCACATTAGCCTTAGCATCACCTGACAGACTGTGTATGTATTTGCCCGGGTGATTCTCGTTTGTCTTCTCCACCAGAACAGAGACTCCGTGAGAATAAGGACTTAGTCTCCTTTGCTGTTGAATCCCTAACACCTGAAACAGCGGCTGGCATGGAGCAAGTGCTTGAAAAGTATTTGTTGAATGAATTCCAATTTCTTCTAGTCTTCAACTCACGTCCCCTTAAAATATAATTATTTTCTCAAGAGGCCCAAGGGAGTTGACTCACATCAGGCCTTCCATTTATTTCAGGACCATTGAAGTCATGTGTTAGAGTCCAATCTATAGAGCCAAGCCTTTTAATTCATCAAGAAAAGGCCATATCCAGTTCAACCATTCAGACGATTAGGTATAATCCTGAACATCCATGAAACATGTTATCTCTGGACTCTATTCCAAATGGTTAGTGGGCTCTGCCTTCACTAAAATCTTCACCAGCTCCACTCACTGCTTTATACACTTCAGAGTCATCAGCTCTGGAATGTTCCTCCCCTTACTCTTCCCCTGTGTATATCAACCCTCTGCCTATCAGTGTAAGGGTTACTCCTCAAGGAAGCCTGCCCTGTTCCCCATCCATCACTCACAGCATTCAGTCTTCTTCCTTCCTGTGGCCACCACACTTCACAATGACCGCCTGCGTGATGGCTGCTTCATGTGCGTCTCCTCACCAGATCTCACACTCTGCACGGGCGGCACCCGTGGCCGTCTGTGCAGCACTGGGCCCCTCCTCGGTATGGCGCCTTACACCTGCAGGTGCTCGTAATCGTTTATTGAAGGCCCTGAATGAATCTATCAAGGGTTCCAAATGTTAAGCCCAATAAACACTAACAACAACAAAAAGAGGAATCGGGCATTCTGGGCCCTAATGGGTCCATAACTAGAAGGGACGGTCATAAGGAGGTGGCTGCCATAGGCTTTTTTAATTAAAAAAATTTCTTTTTATTCTGATAAGATATTCTATAGTCTTTTAAACAGGGAAACAACTACTGTCTTGGGACTTTGCTTCCCAGTGCCTTGGAGTTCTAGTCTTAAAAATATGGTCACAAGCAAAGAGAGGGATCTGCTTACACAGCAGATATGCAGACTGAATACACAATTCAAGAGACCTTTAAAATTGGTGGTGGCTTACGGTAATGAAAAGAGTATACCTGATGTAGATTTGGGCTCCTGTTTATCGGCTAAATAATGTGTCTGGGCCTCAGTTTCTTCATCTGTAAAATGGGAAAAACAGAACCCACCTCACCAGCAGTATGAGGACAGAATGAAATAATCAATGACCAAGTACTCCATAAGCAACGAGGTGTTACACAAACACAAGTTACAGAAAGCAGAAGCACCATCTGGACCAAAGGCCAGCCTTCAGCCAAAGAATCATCCACACTTCCCAGACAGCAGCAGCAGCCTAGAATTACGAAGGTAATCTTGTTGTTTCTTTCAGTGCTCCCACAGATATGGATTTTAACCCATCACCAACCCCCTTCTTGTAAAACCACTCAGCCACTTGAAAAGAGTGACCCCATTGGCCTTCTCTTCCCTGTTCTCAATAACCTCATTCTCCTACACCTCGATGGGCCCAATGACCTACTTTACATCTCTTTCTTCATTTTTTCCCCTAATTTTGGAGCAGGCTCTATCTTTCTACCAGCTCCCAGAGTTCACAATTATAAACAGCAATGCCAGTGGGCCACAGGAGTCCCCAAGCCCCCACTCTGATGATGGCTGGTAGAAGCCCCTCTGCCCATGGTGTCTCCCCCACCGGATCATCAGAGGCTTTCCACTGAGCTAAAGTACAAATACTCCAGGAGAGGTCACCTCCAACGGCTCAGCATCTGAGTTATTCACAACAGATGGTAAACTCATTCATGACACTCTTTCCTGATAACAGAATGACAGCAAAGTGGCAAACACACAGGCAGCATGGCACCTATGTGCTTTTGGTAGCCACCTGAGATCAGCGGGGTGGGACAGAGAATATGGAAAGGAGTTGGTGAAGATCCCGAAGACAAACTCGTGATTTCTTCAATTTTTCCTTCGGGCTCACCCACACACAGATGCAATGTTCATACTCACAGCCAAGGAGTGGGAGTGAAGAAAGGGTCTTGGGCTTGTGGAGTGGGAAAGAAAGGAGGCTCACATATGTATGGGAACTGATGGGCCTGGCTGAGAAACAATGGGATGATGGGCACTAGATGGGGCAGGGGAGATGAGACGGGAAAGAAGAAAAATAGAGTCCAGACACCAATGTTACTTGTATTTATGATATTATAATGCATCCCCATTCTTCATCAAACTGTTAAAGTACCATCTTGTTACTTCTTAAGAAGATAAAAACTTGCTATCTTGCGAAAACATAGACTTAGAAAGGCAGTATAAAATAATGGCTGAATGTTCAGGCTTGAGTTTTAAAGATGAGTTTGAATCTCTAATCAATCAGATATTAACTGTGTGACTTTAGAGAAATTACTTAACCTCTCTGTTTCCTCATCTATCAGATAGCACCTACCCTTATGGGGTCTGTTGCAGGATAAATATGATCATGTATATAATAGCTTCATGCAGTTCCAGCACATGGCAAGGCTCAGTAAATGTTACATTTTACCAAATTCAAGAGCTCTTAAGGTCGTTCCCTTCAGATCCAGTACTCCCTGGAGTTTGAGGTCTAGAGCATCCAGAAACATTCAGCTCTAAAGTTCTACATATCTGTCACCAGAGATACCTTTTTACTTAATTGAAAGGCTGCTTGGCTATTCTTCCCAGGTCTGTTCTCACACAGGTTATTTGTGAGGCACAAGGGCAGGGGATAGGAATGCGAAGGTGAACAGGAATGGGAAGCAAATCTTGGATTCAAGGCACACTCTCTGAGCACACTCACCGAGTCTGGGTCTCGTTGCTGTTCGAGAAAAGCTGAGAATTCCACCAGGCGAAGTTTGGTTGTGCCAATGGAGCGGCCCTGCCAGGCAGGGACCGAGGGAGCTGGGGCTGATGCAGGTTCAAATCCTGAAAGACCAATCGTCACCTTTAAAGCTGGCCATTTGCCGCCCCTTGGGCCTCAGGCCCATCCTGGGACAGGGCCCTACAAACAGGATGACCTGGGAGGAAAGGCCAACAGCCCCCTTCCACCAGAGTCTCAGGGTAGATCTAAGTCAGGCAGTTGTGGGATTCTGGCCGAGGATCCCAGAAGCAGTGGCCAGCGGAGAAGCACAATGCATGTGGCTCCTCGTAAAGTCAACTTCAGCTCAGGTTATGGGCTGTGGCATGAGGACAGAGGGCCGAGCTGGGGACCAAGGTGAGAGTGCTGAGGGGTCAGAAGTGAATGCTTGCAAAGATCTCCTGTGAGACCGGGACGTGCTGGGCACGTCTTGTGTTTGTCCGTCTCCTTTCTTAAGACTAGTCAGCAGCATCTTAGAATATTCTCTCAGAAGGCTCCAAGATATTGGAGCAGAAGGCAGCATGTGAATGCATTTCAGTTTAGGGACTCAAATGGAGAGCAGCTCCAGTGAATAACTCAACGTGCACGCGTGTGGGGGAGGGAGTGGCTGGGCCAGCCAGATTCTTGGTTTCTAGTTTGGGCTTCCACGTAAGCTCTCCTTTAAGGAAAGGGTACAGAAACTGAAACCTACTTATCTAAGAAAGTGTGACTAAAACCCTATCTGCCCTCAAGACTTGGATTGCCCAATTTGGCCTGTTTATGATGAGGAAGGAACCACAGCAACTTCCCCTTCCAAGGATGACCCAGGGTCCTGAGTGAAAGTGATGAGGCTTCCTGTTTCTTTAAAAACCCATCTTGGGAGGTGACTGAGGAGAACTGGACATCCCCGAGACCCTCCTGAGCTCCAGGATAACCCCTGCCTTAAGGAGGGTGGGAGCGAGGACAGGGCGTCCACGGCTCTACAGATAAGGGGGGATGTGCAGCTGCGGAACAAAGCGACAGGCTTGGCTGTCAGCTGTGTGGGCATTCCCCCGAGAGGGAGTCCCACGGACACTCACCTGGAATGGGGGCCGTGACCGCCGGCTGGATGGGGTAGGCCTGCTGCACGAAGGGCTTGACGCTGGGGACAGAGGAGTAGGGAGAGTCAGAAACCACGACTGCAGCAGCGGCTGCTCCCCAGGCCTGACCTTGGCCTCCCATGGCTAGAGACCCAAGCCGGGGGCCTCCCCACTGTAAGCTTCCCCGCCTGCAGGCGGAAGCACAGCCCAGGCAGAGCTCCGCCACAACACAGTCGGTTACGCTCTCCAACCCAGAGGGGCCAGCAGGGCGCTGGGGACCAAACCACCAAGCCTCATGCCAGTTCAATGGGTCGAGCTGGACAGGCGGCAGACTGACTCCCACAGGCTGTGACATCGCCCTCGGAACCTCTCTTCTCGTCCCTGTGGAGACCGAGGTCAGCGGTCACCACGTCTAGGCAAGGTTTGCGACACACTTCAGGCTCTCCTTCTCTAGGCCAAATAGCTCAAGTTCTTTTGGGAATCTATGGGCAGGATGTCCTTTCTGCTTTTCTCCCCAGACTGCCCTTATCTCTGCGTTACTGGGCTTATTTCTTTTGGCCTCAGAGCATCACTAGGATTTTCTATCAGCTGCAGGCACTCCTCAGGAAGACCGCAGGCTCTACCCTCCAAAGCCATGAGAGGATGGGGACCCTCCTCCTGTTTCTGGCTGGATGACCACTGATACTCAAGGTGAGAGTGAGGTGTTTACACATCTCCTGGATCTCAGCAGTTTCTTCCCTGCTACTGGCCTCAGGCGACAGCAATGGGGACACTCGGTGATCTCAGGTTAAATCTCCTTTCTCCTCCCTGCCCCGAGGCTGTCTGGTCCTGGGAACACGCTACCCAGGGTGGGCTGTGACCACTCCCTTGTTGTCAGTGCCGGTCCCTCCTCAGACTTACTCTTGTGAGGATCCTGGCTGCCCTGTTTGTATCATTCCCGGCCAGAACTGGAAGGCAAAATGCAAGAGGGTTCAGGATTATGAGTTCACTTCAAAACATGGTTCAGGATGTCTATGCATTACAATCCCTGCTACAGACAGTGGGTTCAGATCATCCACCAGCTGCAGAGCGACCCTCCCAAAATGCAGATGTGGTCACTGCTACGCACGAGATCGCAGCCTCCATCCTCGGCCTAGCAACCAGGGCTCTCTCTAGCTCCTCTTCCCGATAACCCCCGAGGGCAGGGACCAGGCAGCAGCTCTTCAGTGCTTTTCTGACACCTAACAGAGATGGGGGCACACTGCAGAGGGTTCACAAATATTCTGTCTGACTGGTTTATCTATGCACCCACTCATCCTTCTCTTCCTCCTCCTTCCACTCTGAAACACTCCCTGTGAAGTATTCTGCCTCCACAGCTCACAGCACCGAGTGCCCAGAGGGGAGAGGACCAAGCTCAGAACAAGAGGCAGGGAGCTCCGAGATGCAGTGCAGACACCTCCTTTGCCGTGAGCTTCCCTGAGGCTTTTGGTGCCTGCTGACGCCCTGCTGGAGAGGCAGCAGGATGTAAAGGGAGTCGTACAGGGAGTCATAGGCCCTGGGTTTGAGCCCTGATGTCATTTTCCATGTGATGATGATCAAGTCACCCAAACTCTTGTTTTGTTACTTGGTAACCTCAGTTTCTTCATCTGTAAAATGGCATTAACAATCAGAGGCATTTAAGATTACTGCGAGGATTAAATGAGATCATAAAATTAAGCTTCTCGGCTCTTGGTAGGCACAAAATGAAAACGGAAAGAGAATACTTTGCCCCTTTAGGGACTAGTTGCCAAAAAGTGACCCTGAGGACACAGGAAAAGAGACCAAGGGCCAGGAAACAGAGAAGAGGTGGACCACAACCCAGAAAGGCACCAGAAAAGTGACACTTAATTCCATGTCTTCAGGGACTAAGCGTCCCTTCCTCTTCCTCTCTCTCTCTTCTCTTACTCCCCTCTCTCCAGCTCCCTGCCTCCCTTCCTTTCTTTCACCATTTTGCACCCAGCATCAGTTCACCACAAGGTGGTCTCTCCTCTCTCACACACCTGACTGGGTGGATGGCTTCACGCTGGCCCACGCTGGCCCCACGCCTCTAGAGGCCACCGTTACTGGATCTGGCTTGTGACTTACCCCCGGCGCCCCAGGGAAGGTGGGGCGTGGGATCCCTGGCAGCCCCAGCTTGTTGTGAATGGCAGTGGCCGAGACGATCTGGGCTGAGGACATGGCGGCCATGTGCTGCAGGGCCTTATCCTTTGCAGTCTGATCCTTGAGGGTGACAGGGACACACAGACTTAATACAGAACACACGGCTACCAGGCAGCTTAAACAGCACAGCCACGAGCGCACGGACTAAAATAGAGCCACAGGGGAGGCCGGAACAGCAAACATGCATGATAAATAAACACAGCCCGAGGCTACAACACACTCACCCTACCCTCACTCTGACTGGTGACTGGTGGCACCCAGGGGCAAGGTTTTCAAAAGAATTTTTTTTTTTTTTTTTGTGAGGAGGACTAGCCCTGAGCTAACATCCAACGCCAATCCTCCTTTTTTTGCTGAGGAAGACTGGCCCTGGGCTAACATCCGTGCCCATCTTCCTCTACTTTATATGGGACGCCACCACAGCATGGCTTGACAAGTGGTGCGTCAGGGTGCGCCCGGGATCCGAACCTGCGAACCCCGGGCCGCCGCAGCGGAGCGCACGCACTTAACCGCTGCGCCACTGGGCCGGCCCCTCGAAAGAAATTTTTTACTCCATTTTCCAACAGAATTGGAAGCCTCTAAGAGTGGACAATGTATTTATTTTTTCAGCTTCCAATGGGAGATTTCTCCAATTACTTCACACACCCAAAGAAAGAAAAAAAAAAACGGCCCTGCTTTTAAGCATACAGATGGGAGGACGGGCGAGAGAAGAGGCGTGGATGTGGATCTGCGGTGGACATCCACGAGTGCGGGAGGCCCTGTCTGTGGCGCCGTCACCGGGCCACGGTCCCAGGAGCTGCTGGAGTCGTGCACGGCCTGGAAGCCCTGCAGACACCTGGTGGGAGAGGCTCAGAAGCAGCGGGGCGGGCGGGGGGCAACGACAGGGCCAAGCAGCATGCTGGCGGGGCGCATGCTTTCTCAGGTACCCCCGCCGTGGGTCTAAGGCTACACGGGTACTTTCTATAGGCAAGGACACAGGGGATGCTACCAGGTGAGTGGTTTCTCCTTTTCCTAAATGAGTCTTTTCTAGAAAAGCCAAGGCTGATAACACAAAGCTAGCCAAAAAGTCCGCCAAGCACAGCTAAAATACAGAATACTCAATTTGCTGAAAATACTTACCATGCTTGTTACCTGGATACAACAATAAACAATTTGTTAAAAGGATTGCGTACAAAGGCAGGGTTATTTCTCTCTTCAGTTACAAAATACATATGTATACAAACACTCAATACTTGAGTACAATAAAATGTATAGGAGTGTGTTTTTTTTCACATTTTAGAAGGCACGTGTGCCCCAGATAACTATCTAGAAGGGCAATTCCCAACCACGGCAACAATCAAAACCTACTCCTAACTCCTCCACAGAGTGGTTCTGTGGCTTCCTCAGGACAGATGGAGAAATGGTCAGACCCCCGGTGTGTGACAGGCCCTGATGGTGCAGACAGGGCTTCATGCTTGGTGAATACATCAAGCCTCCGGGCTGCCAGTGGAGGGTCTATACAATCTATACCAGGCCCAGACGCCATCAAAGCGGGAATAAAATGGTGGCATCAAATCAAAAAGAGCGCCCTCCACAGCTGCCATTCAGAGTTCAGACAGTGAGTGAAGGTCCAGGGAAGCTTCAGGCTAAGACATCGGGTACCAGCTGAGAGGTGGCTTTAATGTCTACAGATTACCCAAAGGTGATGACTAAAGATGCTGAGGCGCCAAAGGCAAGGCCAAAAGGAGAAATTAAAAAAAAAAAATTTCGAAGTCTACAAGATAGCTACCAGGGGCTTCTAAGACCAATTAGGTGCTCCCAAGGTAGAGACACCATTTTGCCCCATAACTGCCAGGAACACCATGTGAATTTTCAAAGAGCTTCTATTAACCCTTGAAAAAGAGCCTAACACTTGCATACAATTTTATATTTTACACATTTCTCTGGCTCTCAACTGAAAGAATAATGAACCTCATGTAACAGCTTTTCGGGGATGCACGTGGTCATTATGAACATCTGTCAGGGCACGTGCTGTAGCTGAAGGACACTGTGAGGGCCCTGGAAGCTTGAGGGATTACTGGTCCCCAACAGAATGGCCCTGGGTGACTAGTGATACTTCTGCTGCCTCTGGTCAGATGGCGTTCTTCGAGTTGAGGCTCCATTTGCTCATCTGCTGAATGCTCTAACCTAACCCAGCTTTCTCTGGTAACTTTTTTAAAGATCCGAAACATTTCAGATACTGAGATGCCTGAAAAAAGACAAATCTTGAAGTCAGTGGAATTTTATGATAGACTCAAGGGGCATGTGCAAATGCCCTAAAGCCAAACTGAGGCTGACACACACAGGTCTCTGCCAGTCAATCTACTCGTAGCTGGTCCTATGGTTTCACCTGCCACCAGCTCCATCATCCCCTCGGAGGGTAATCCATGTACAACGAACAGTCACTCACTCCCTTCTCTGTCAGGAGCACCTCGACAGCAATACAAACTCGTGGGTCTCGCTTTGGACCAGTCACTTTGTACTCTAGCCCCCAAGCCAATTAACCCCTATTGAGAGGTTATAAGTGCCCTCAAGGTGACCTCTGAAACTGAAGTAATGGCATAGGTATAACCACAGGCGCCTTCCCCAACAAGGAACAAGCCTTACAACTTCTCCAGGGCCCCTTCTAGAGGAGCGGGAAAGCGGAAGGCCAAGCCTCCGGCCTGCTTGGCTGATGCAAATTCTGAGGAGTAACTACAAATGAGCCGTGGGCTTGGCTCTATCCCCAAAGAACATCAAGACGCCTCTCTCAGACCTGAGAGTGCTGTGTTTATGAAATGCTGATAACAGGGGTGACCCTGCTCACCCCCATACACAGTGCATTTGTGCACACTTGGGGGGAGTGATTCAAGAACAAATCAAAAGTCCAGGTCCAAATGGAAATGAGTTCCCCATGTCTCCATGGCCCACTCTTATTCTATAGCTGCTTGAGATGTTTCCCTCAGCTGGGCTGACTGCAAAGTTCTTCAAATCGTGAAAAGTTCACGGAAGTTTCCTACTTTTCTTTTTTAACAGGGAAATCAGTCAATGAGGAAAGGAGAAAAAAGTCACCAGCTTTGCTGTTTGTCACACAGCTTCAGAACATGGTCTTTTTCTTTTGTTAAAGAAAGTAAGGTTTGACTTTCTTATTACCCAGCACTCCACAAGGTATGTGAATGAAAACACAAGTTCAAAAGCAGGAGAGCAAATCAGTTGCATCTATGGCACCAACTTGCTCTATGCCAGGAAAAGGCAGACCTGCAGAGGAGTCTGGAGACCTGGTTCCAAGCCCACCTCCACCTGATGCCAATGGGCTGTGTTACTCTGGGCAAGTCATTTAACACTCTCTAATTTTCTTCATCTACAAAATAAAGCACTGTATTTTATTCTCTAAAGCCTTTCTGGTTCTAAAAGTATCTGTAGCTATGACTGTGGTTCCATTATAAGCAAAGACATCTTAATTCATATAGACAAAAAACCAGTAGTGAAAAGACAGCAGGATGTTGAAATTTGGGCAGCTCTCGGCCTCCTGTCCTAATAGAGAGAAGCCAAGTGTGGAGAGGAAATTTCATCTCAAGTAGAGGTTCTTTCTGCACTTGACCTACCTATTTGAGAATAGGCAATTTTCTGCAAATGGACTAAAATGTCTATACCAGTGATTTCCCCACCTTTTGTAGTAGAGACACTGACTACTCATTTAATTTTATAACATCTCCCCTTGATCTATGATATACATTTGAAACTTAAAAAGATTAAAAATTTTTGGTTAAAATCTAAAATAACCCTGTAGATAATAAGCGCCGCCAGGGATATATTGAAATCAGAACTGAGAGCCTGGCTGTAGACCCACTTATCCTGAAATGGGAGTACGGAAGGATGCCGAGCTCAGAGATTTCAATGGAAGGATCTCTAAGTTGTCATTTTCAGCCTAGAGATACATGCCTGGCTTCGAAGAAATTATAACTCTAAGTGTCAGACCTGAGTAAACTGTTTCTCTGGGTCACTCTAGTCTAATAGTCTGGACTTTTAAACATCCCACTCCATCCTCACCACTCACCCCCAGGCTAAAGCGGGGAAGGGGGAAGCTGTCACTAATTCATCCAAATAGCTAAAGCTTAAGTAAATTCAAAAATACATGCTACGTTTGTACATCATATTAATTTTATTCTAAGATGTTTTCAACACCCACATTTCTGAGATGTGGATGAGATTTACAAAGGACAAGCACGTTGTTCTATCTTGAAAAACTGTTATTAAGTCAATACTGAGTTATCACCTATGATGTCTTAGACCACAGGAAATACTCTGAGTGTATGCGGACATATGAGCATGCACAAACAAGAAACACGTGTCCTAGGAAAAAGCTTGGACAACTTCACAGTGACTCCTTATTTCTGACTTTAAGATTCTCTATCTCTAAGATTCCAAAGAATGAGGCCACAAAGAGGTGAACGCTTGGGGAGTGGGGAAAGAAAAGGCATATCTCCCTCTTCCAAACTGAACCCTAACTCAAGCCCATGACCTGGAATGTGGAAAATACTTATGGAGCAGGAAACATGGGCCTGAGACTGTTGATGGGCTGCTAAGAAAAAATGGCCCATGGAATTGAGAAAGAGAGCAGACAAAGCCCTCGAATTCAGGGTGCATGTCTCTGTACTCACTCGACTTTCTTCCCTGTCCAATTTCTGGCACACCGTGCTGTCAATGGCCTATCTCAGCCACACGGGGTCCAGCAGGCCATGTCATGCATAAACTCCTCAGCCTGAAGCCTTTCAAACTGTTATTGTTACTAAGTAAACAGGCTTTCATATTTCATGAAGCAGACCAAGGCTGCTGCTACAATTCTGGGTTCCGCTGACTGCCTCCTTTTTATGGTTGAAATGCACAGAATGTTTGGAAAATGTCCACATGTAATATACATGACAGGAAGGCAGCCTATCACAAATGCACATGGCTGGAGTGGTGTGCTCTTCAAACTCGAGGGCATTTTATGAATCAGTCTCTGAATAGCACGGGAGTCTTATTCCCCTCTCTCCTCTGCTTCCCCAGCTTTTGATTATTCTGGG